TTTGATTTGTATCTTATTTTTCCTACGCGTGGAAGCAACACACGTTAAGTATCTACATAGTGAGACATAATATTGTAAAAATATCTTTATGTATACATAAGTATGTCATATTTATTTAATTCGTACTAAATCGTATATTCTTTAAGGATCCTACAATCCTCCTCGATTAAATTGTATTCCATTCCCAATTATCTTAATTACTTTCAGTATGTCTAGCATACCTATCTTTCTTTATATTTTTCTTTTTCCATTTATCTCTTTATTCATTATTCTTTATTTTCATTGAGAGCATCCATTCATCTTATAGTGCACCATTATGCATTTTCATTTATGGCATTCTTTCATGCCAATAATGCACCCATATGCTTTTTATTTATGGCACCCTTTCATGCTCTTTTATACGCTATTATATATTTCATTTATGGCATCCTTTCATGCTTTTTTATATGCTATTATACATTTCATTTATGGCATCCTTTCATGCCCTTTTAAGGCTATTATACATTTTATTTATGGCATCCTTTCATGCCCTTTTATACGCTATTATACATTTCATTTATGGCATCCTTTCATGCCCTTTTATACACTATTATGCATTTCATTTATTGCATCCTTTGATGCCTTTTATACAACGTTAGACATTGTCATACATCTAGTCTTTTACTCAAAGGCATTTAGCCTTTCATCTAACTGGCATAATTGACAACTTTCTTTCAAATACACAGCTAGGCCTCAAAGGCACTTAGCCCTTCATCTAACTTCATAATTGACACCTTTTTGTTAAATGCATAGCTAGGCCATTAATCTTTTATTTAAAAACTATTTATACTCTAATAATTATTCTTAATATCACTTAACTCTTCCAATTCATTATAAATTCTATATTTTGAACACGTAGTGCCAATACAGTAATTCGCAAACTTATTATAATTTACGTGGGTTGCATACCCACTACAAATACGGAAATTAACTCTTTTTAATTTATTATAAATCTTATACATTTGCACCCTTTGTGCTAATATGGTAATTTACCAACTCTCTATTCATGTTCATTTATTAAGATGCACAAGTAGTGCTTATACGGTAGTTCTTCAACTCATGATGAATTCCATGGATTTGCACACTTCGTGCCTGTACGGTTATTCATCAACATATGATGAATTATGTGAATTACACACTTAGTGTCAAAACAGTTATTCATCAACATATGATGAATTCCGTGAATTGCACACTTAGTGCCGAAACGGTTATTCATCAACATACGATGAATTCCATGAATGGAACACTTAGTTTCGAAACGGTTATTCATCAACAAAAGATGAATTCCATGAATTGCACACTTAGTGTTGAAACGGTTATTCATCAACATACGATGAATTCCGTGAATTGCATACTTAGTGCCTAAACTGTTATTCATCAACATATGATGAATTTCGTGAATTACATACTTAGTGCCAAAACGGTTATTCATCAACATATGATGAATTCCGTGAATTACACACTTAGTGTCGAAATGATTATTCATTAACATATGATGAATTCCGTGAATTGCACACTTAGTGTCGAAATGGTTATTCATTAACATATGATGAATTCCATGAATTGCATACTTAGTGCCAAAACGGCTATTCATCAACATATGATGAACCGTGAATTACACACTTAGTGCCTATTTGGTAATCACCACACACATATATTAAGCAATCATACATCTATAACTATTATAGCATATAGTTGCACAATTAAGTTCACTCACGTAGCTTTCCTCGCTATTATATTCAAAACACAATTATGATTACTCAGCTACTTTATATTTGTCTTTTATTTTACTTAACTCAGAAGCTTGATTTCGATCTACTCAAGCATCCAACAAAGACATGTATAATATTAATTGTTAATATATTTCCTAACAATTATGCTTAAACAATACTCAAAAGTACATATTATTATATTTTCTATAACAATCTTATCTTATCTCTACATTTCAGGCTCAATAGTATCGATACCCTTACACTGGTATCGATACTACTATATTATGGTACCGATACTCTATTACGATAACGGTACCATTTTTGCATTCTGTTTTTAATGATATTGATACCTTCCTCATGGTATCGATACCGCCTTCGGTATCGATATTGATTACGTCAATATCGATACTAAGTTATTCATCCCATTTTAGCCTAGAGTATCGGTACTGTTCTATCAGTATCGATACCATCACCTAAATTTTCCATTTTCAGCCCGAAATATACTCAAATTTGGTCAAATTTCCTTATGTTTACCCTAAACACTATTTAACTCTTCTCTACTTATTCATACTAACTTTCCTTCATTTAGCTACTTAAAACATCTAGCATCCTTCAGTAACATTGGATTCTAAGAATCACACTACATTTTCTAACTTGTTTTTAAACTCATCCAATGCTTCCAATCTTTCATTTACCTCTTTGACAAGTCAAAACTACTAATAAACATCAATAAACTCTCCTATATTAACATATCTTTTCAAAATCCATTTTTTTAATTCTCTATTATTTCTTCCATCTCATAGTTTTAATCCTATATAACCTGTACTTAAGCTTATATATCACTTAAGGTTACAATAACTACCCATAATAAAAAGGAAAAATTGATTAATTAAAGTTTATCTTTGGAGCTATAGGGGATAGCAAAACCCACAGGAAAGAAAAATAAAAGGAAGAGATAGTTTCTTTGACTTTCTTTCCCCTTTTTCTTAAATCCCTAGAATTTAAATGGGTTTTAATTCATTTCACTTATGAAGACCAAAATGTCCTTTCATTAATTTATCTCTTACACATTGGTCTTACTTAAGTCATTTCTTATACTTTACCTTTTATTCAATTTAGTCCTCCAAATTTTTAATTTCCTTTCAAATTAGTCACTGACCTACTATTTGGGGTATTACATTTTCATAAGTCCAATACATGCCATCTAATTATCAAAAGTAGACATAATTGTCCTACAGTTACTAATGAGGTAACCTTTGATTGATGATATTCCCTGCACTCCTTACTCCACTAGTATTCACTATTATCTACGCGTGAAACCAACACAAGCTATGTACTTACTTAGTGAGGCATAACAGTACAAATGAGGTGTAACCTAAACATGAATATATCTTAAAATATCAAAATACGATTTTAGTTCGTATGAATCATATTAATACTTAAATTGGCTTGGCAAACCAAGGTTCATTCACATAACCTGTGAAACTACGTTTAGTATGCCTAACATACCTATCAATCAATATATATATATATATATATATATATTTATTTATTTTTTCTTTATTTGCCCAATTTATGTCAAATGAGAATGCTAGGTACATGCGTTGCACCTACGTGCCGAAATGGAAATTCACAAACTCATGATGAACTCAATGAATGCACACATAGTGTCGAAAGTACATATAGTATTGATACGAAAATGCACTTTTATGCATTAAACAAAATCGATCGATAACTTTTATACATAATTGTATGTCGAAATGGTAATTCAAAAACTCATTATGAATACCATGGTTGCACATCTAATGCCGAAAATACATAAAGTACTGATACGAAAATGCACCATTATGCATTACACAAAATCGATCGGTAACCATTATATACAATTTATGTCAAAATGCACCTATGACTCTCAATGCACATACAATGGGATTTTAAGTAAAATTCGCATATTAAACATTTATTTCTGAAACATCGATAACCATTAAAACAACATAAAAGTTCATCTATTCATTTTAGAGTAGTTCATACTCTAAATTTATTTGTAATATCATTTCCATAAACATTTTGAAAACATATCGAAATATTGTAAAACATATTTTTATCAAAGCATTCGAGGTTGACTCATCGCAAGTCATCCTCATCTCATATAAGTATAATAAATATACTCACCTGGTATGTCTCATTATTATGCCTTAATGATGTCCAACTACTCGAGAACTTTATCCTTGCCCTTTTTCAGCTTGACTCAGGAGCTTGATTACGATCTACACAAGCATCCATAATTACACATACATTACAAATGTTAGTATACAATCTAACATTTATACAAAATAAAAATATTTAAAAGTACTATTATTTTTGAATTCTATTAAAATTCATACTAACTTAAAATTCTAGTCTGAATAGTATCAGTACCCCTCCTATGGTATCGATACTTATATACTACGGTATCGATACTCTCTTCAGTATTGATACCATTTTTGCATTCTGGAATCCATTTTTTAATTACAGTATCGATATCGTCCTCTTGGTATCGATACCCCCACATCAGTATCGATACTACTTGCATAAGTATCATCGTGTTCATCCTCTTTTCTCAAATTTAACCCTATAGTATCGGTAATGTTCTTCTAGTACCGATACCCTTACCCATATTTTACTTATTTCACTTCGATTTTTACCCAAATTTCGCCTAAGTATCTTACTTTTATCTCCAACCAAACCATTAAAGTCATCATCACTTAACCCAACTAACTTACCTCCATAAATCTTCCCATAACATCTCAAATCTCCAAAGAATTCTCAAAACTAAAATCACACCAATTTTCCAAACATGTTTTTAATCACTTCTAAGGCTCCAAATCTCTTATTTACTTATTTGGCAAGTCAAATATACTTTTAAACTTCAATAACTGGTCATATTTCATCAAATCATTTAAAAACTCATTTTCTTAAATCTCAATGAAATCACTTATCTCTTAGTTTTAATCACCCTTGAACTTTCCTTAAGCCTCTATATCACTTAAGGTTTCAAAACTAACCCATAAACAAAAGGAAAAACCAACTTGAGGAAACCTTACCTCTAAAGGACCATAATGTCATTTCATTCTTTCATTCTTAATAATTAGTCTTAAACACAATTTTCTAAATCATTCCTTATACTTTTAAATTTACTCAATTTAACCTACCAAAATTTTAAATCCTTTAATTATGGTCACTGAACTGATATTTGGGGTATTACAGGAGGGGTTGAGTTCAATGACCCTCAAAGAAAGCTTGTCTTACAAATTTCTAGCTTACCATTTGGACACTGCCTCCGGGTTTTATTGGTTATTCAATCAACATGATTAACCTGGATAATCCCAATTACAGAACTAATTTCGTCCACGACTTGCAGGAGACTCTATTCTATAGACGTTTTGGTAAGGTTCAAGTGGAACATATGGAAAGGGCTCGTAGTTTCATAAAACATGGTGTTGTGTCTTTGGATGGAGGAATTCTGAGGAAGAATAGACTTATTTGTTTACATTGTTAATTTACCTATTACTTTAAAGTAATAGGTTTCAAAATTCCAAGTATCGATACTCCAAGTACCGGTTTGAAGTAAGCAATTAGTGCATTGACATCCCCATTGATGATTTTCTTTGCTTTACCTCTTTGAAGTGCATTGTAGAGGTCTTTATGTGTAAATTTAACATTCTGATAACCCATATATAAAGTGCATTGTAGAAGTAATAGGTAAATTTATAATGTAAACGGTAAAAGTATAACGGTATAATGATAATAGCTTAAACACATCGTATCAATACTTTGTTATATCGGTATCGATACTTTAATTCCAGTATACATCTCAAACAATTTGCACGCAAAAAGTATCGATATACTCAGAATTTTGAAACCTATTACTTTAAAGTAATAGGTAAATTTACATTTTATACGATAAAAATCTACTTGTTTAATGATAACAGGTGTAAATATAACGTATCGATACTTTTTTATAGGTATTGGTACTTTTATTCCACTATGTTTCTCAAACAATTTGCACGCAAAAAGTATCGATACACATGTACAAAGTATCGATACTTTTAATTCCGAAACCTATTACTATAAAGTAATAGGTAAATTAACAATGTAAAGGGTAAAAGTTTACCGGTATAATGATCATAGGCATATATACCAAGTATCGATACTTTATATATAGGTATCGATACTTTTAGTTCAGTGTGCATCTCAGATAATTTGAACTCAAAATGTATCGATACTCGGAATTTTGAAACCGATTACTTTAAAGTAATAGGTAAATTTACGATGTAAATGGTAAAAATATACCAATTTAAAGGTAATAGTCGTAAACATAAAGTATCGATACGTTTAATATAGGTATCGATACTTTTTTCCAGTATGCTTCTCAAACAATTTGCACGCAAAATGTATCGATACAAATATATAAATTTTTTTATATTTATAATTTAGAAACCTATTACTTTAAAGTAATATGTTAATTTACAATGAAAATTGTAAAAGTCAATCGGTATAATGATAATAGGTGTAAACATCAAGTATCGATACACATGTATAAAGTATCGATAAATAGAATTTCGAAACCTATTACTTTAAAGTTATAGGTAAATTAACAATGTACACGGTAAACTTTTCTTGGTATAATGAAAATAGGTGTAAATGTACAAGTATCTATATTGTCATATAAGTATTCATTCTTATAATTTCGAAAACTATTACTTTAAAGTAATAGGTAAATTAGCAATATTCACGGTAATATGTTGATAATACTGATAACAAATCAAGTAATTAACCTATTTTGTTATCGTCGGATTTCTAAGGCCCCATCAACTTTAAACAGACGATGCCTATTACATTAAATAAGCATTATTTGTTATGTTATTATGGTTGATAATATGTTCAGTAATTAACCTAATTTTTTATCGTGTGATTTTTAAGGCTCCATCAACTTAAACTTTGGTAATATTTTAGACGCTACCTAATATGTTGATAATACTGATAACAAACCAAGTAATTAACCTATTTTGTTATCATAGGATTTCTAAGGCTCCATTAACTTTAAACATTTGCTACAGATTACATTAAATAAGCACTATTTGTTATGTTATTATGGTTGATAATATTTTCAGTAATTAAATTATTTTGTTATCGTTAGATTTCTAAGGCTCCATCAGCTTAAACTTTGATAACATTTTAGGCGCTACCTAATATGTTGATAATATTAATAACAAATCAAGTAATTAACCGATTTTGTTATTGTCGGATTTTTAAGGCCCCATCAATTTTAAAAAGACGCTACCTATTACGTTACATAAGAGCTACCTATATGTTATTATGGTTGATAATGTTTTCAGTAATTAACCGATTATATTAAAGTCAATATTTTTAGCACATTTTACATACGACGATAACATTCCCGATTATTACTATTATTATTACCAACACAAATAATATTTCTGGCGAAAACATATAACATTTCCGGTAACATTTTTAACAGATCACCTATTTAACCAATCATACCATTAATTTTATTTTAACTGCCTACTTAACCAATCACGCCATGTTTAGCCTTATTTTAACAGCCTCACGGCATAATCTCCCAAAGTTGGGCTCACATTTCTAATGCAATTTTAGTCAAAAAGAAAACAAGAATTCTCAAGTCGTAAGCAAAAGCATTTCACCAGAATACAAAAAAAAATGCACTTTTTCTTCCTTCTTTTCACTCTTTTAATGAGAATGTTAAACAAGTGAAGTAACACAAGGGCAACATCTTTACTAAGGTCCATTCACATTACCATACAAGGGGAAATTAGTACAGAAATATACTAAGAAGAGCCTAAAAAACCACTCTTCTCACCATTTCTCTTCATGTATACATCAGTAGTTGTCGAGAAAAAAAAACGTCTCTTATACAGAACCACACATTCAAAGTTAAAATCTTAGTATATATTGTTTTCTTGAAGGATAAAAGGGGATAAAAAAGAACCCATAAAAAAACCCTCAAGAGAGCCTTCTTTTCTTCTTCATGGATCTCCATTTTCCTTAGCTAATTATTCATGTATATGTTGTTTTATTTCCTTTGCTAGGTGATTCAGGCAACTGCAACAGTGCCTGTTCGGAAGGGGTAATCTTCAGATTTCCTTTGATCTTTCTTTTCTTCAGATTTCCTTTGATCTTTCTTTCTCAAAGATTTCATCGATGAACAGAGGTTCCTATTCTTTTCCGTGGCTTCATCCATGTCGATTTGTTCTTGCCTGCTCTCTTCACTGCAGAAAGGCGTGTCCCCTCTGCAACATAATTCATTGCGTCTCTCTACTGATCTTTCAATCGAAAAAACATTGCGACTTAAAAAAAATATGAAGATGGAATAAAAGGACTGACCTGTACATGAAGATGTCTTTGTTACCCCTAAGAGTTTTCTTACAGAGGAAACAAGCATCCAAAAAATGGGGCTGACGATCTTCAAATCTGCCATCGAGAAGAAACTAAACTAGAAGAAGAAGAAGAGAGGTTCCTTAAACTGCTCCTCCTTGAGAAACAAAAGGGTGTTGAAAAACACCCGTTTGGTTCCATAGCTGCAAGGGAAGCCAATCCATCATCTTCTTCAATGAAACAAGGTTTCCTTGAAGGTCCAGAAAACGCCATTCGGTTCAGAAAAGGTGTAATCTTTGAAGGGAAATAAAGAGAGAGAGAGAGAGAGAGAAGGCTGAAGAAAGGTTAAGAAATGGTGAGATTTTATGGGGGAAAGTTTTATTTTTTGTTGAGAAAAAGATTGCAAACAACGGCAGAGTTCAGGAATATCCGTCCAAGCGGATCTATTTGCTTAATATAATAAGCTCGATATCATTCCCGGTTAATGCTTGTGGTCGTTTTGACGGATCTGCCACTGACTTTTACTCAAAACTACCTAAGAGCCATGTTATTTTTCTAGTGAAAATAAATTTCTTACTTTTTGTAAATATATATATATACACACACATTTTACATAAAGAAAATCTATGTTTCTATCATGCAATGTAAGCCTGAAATGCGTGTTGTCAAATTCTGCAAATAATAATAATAATCGGTGAAATATGAAATGAAATGACAATCTTGTCATCTGAGAAAGATGGAGGGTAAAAATGGAAATTGGGATTCCAGTCTCATACATGGGGAACAAGATTTTCAAAAGGTCAATTATAATATGATTTTCATATTTGTTATATTCAATTTGAAATTTAGTTTTTTACTATTATTGATATTATTCAAATCATGATAATAATTCCTCATCAACAATTTTTATTATCTTCTGGCAATAAATTAGTAAACAATACTTATTCGATAATCATAATTTTATTTAAAAAAGGCAAAAATCAAATTTTAGGTTTTACTTAAAAAAACTTATTAGCGAGTGAGAAATTATTTAATGATATCGGATTATTACATTATATATGAGAGCTACAAATTTTAAAATAACTTCTAAATAATTGTTTATTCTTTATTTATACGTACAACTAAGGTGAAGATTCACCTTGAAAAAAATGAGATGAAAAATAATTATTGATTTGGATTACGGATGACGTAGTGATTCGGTGTCATCTAATAGTTTTTCACTACCGTGACTTTTCAAAGAGAATAATTATTTTGAGAGAAAACAATATTTTTATATAAATTATAATGCTTAAATTTAAAAAGAAAATTTTAATTTTAATTTTTAAATTAAAATAATTTATTTAAATATGTTTGAATTACATTTAATATTCTAATAATCAATTAAATTAAATAATAATAACTATAATAAATTATCAAATGAAGATTGAAAATTAAAAAATGTATAGCATAGTAACGAACAACAATATTTTGAGCTTTTCGAGAGTAACAAAGGCCCACACAAACCATATTATAACGTCTATAACTGAGGATGGGCCCACGCTCCCACAATGCGCGTTGTGTAACGACCACTACGCTATAGTTAAGAATAGTTGAATTTCCAGTTATAGACACCTTGGTGGTTCTCTCTTCATACAACTTTGATGTCTCTTTACCAACTATATTTCTATTACCACTGTCCTTTGTTTTCATTAACTAAAACCACTTACCGGTAGATTTATATTTGAATTTGAAATTCAACATTAATGATAACTATTAAAATTTTATGAAAAATTAAAAATCACCTAAATAATTAAGTGGAAAAAGGATTCTCTAAATAAGGATGAACTTTTTCTTTTATAAGTATGATAATTTTTACAGTTAATTGAGAAGACGCAA